CCTTGCAGCCTTGCCCACTGGCTCTCAGTGAAGAGTGGGAACAGAAGACCCCACTCCATTTATTTCCCTCCAGATACAAGGGTTTGGGAGGGGGAGCCAAGAAGGGCTATACTCTCTACTCCAGAATTGTCTGTTCTTTCCTTTGGCTGCCAATATTTAATGCTTATCTTGTTAGGTTTTCTTCTTTTCTTTGGTGAAAAACATTTTTTCTGACTTAATATTTTTTACTTTTGGGGGGAAGGGAAGTCTGTGATGCAATTTCAGTCTTCCATCTTTACACAGGAATTGCCCCAGATGATCTTTAAGGCTCTTTCCAGCCCAAGCTAGATCATAACTCTGAGTTCCCTACTCACCCAAGGAGAGATGGGGCCACCCCACACAGAGCAGAGCCAGTGTGGCTGTCACCGGGGCCTTTACATCCGGGAGGGGATGCACCCTCCTCAGCCTTGAAGAGTCCTGAGCAAGGACCAGGGATGCAGGCCCAGGATCTGCCTAGCCTGGTGCCCATGGGGGAGCCTTGCGAGGTGGTTGGCAGGGATCGGCTAGGATGTGTGTCCACCGTAGCTGCAGCCAGCTCAGCTAATGATTCTGGGGACGGCTGTGGGATCTGCTCTCCAGCCTGTGGGTGGCCCAGATGGCTGGGCTGTGCAGGCACCCCAGCTCTGGGGGCTCTCCTACTGCTTCCCAGACTTGGCCCTTGTGAGAGCTTCTTGGATAAGTCATTTTTCTCTTGCCTTTTGGGCTGGAGTAACCAGCCTTGCCAGGGACTGCCTCAGAGGGGCTGAAAGAGGCCCACCCGCCCTTCTCCGAGGGCCCCACCTCCCTGCCAGGATCTAACAGGTGTCTCTTCTTGGATGGGCAGCAGAGCCCATGAGGAGAGCCCACAGTCTCAGCTGAATTCTCTGGAGGACACTAGAGCTCTGCTACCTCCCTGCCTCACTCTCCACCTGCCTGCCCACCAGGCTGTCGGGCTCCGGGACCTGGGCGGTGCCCTTGTGCCCTGAAGCCAGGCCAGGCAATTATAGGTTGGCAGGCCCAGGGGCAAAGTGTGCCAGCCAGCATGACAGCTTGCTGGCGGCTAGTCTGTGCCCACGGCCTGTGTCCTGACTGGCTCAGCCACACTGGGCGAGGAGCTGATCCGTGAAAGGGGAGGACTGGGTCCTAGCTCTGCCCTCATCTCCATGAGCCCACGGGGGATGTTTGCCTTCTCCAATCCTGGCGGGGCCGAGATCAGTTACTGCCCAACTGGAAGACTGAGATGGACCAAGGTGAAGCCACTGCCCTCTCCACCCCACAGGCCCTGAGCCTTCTCTGGGGTGGGTGCTCCATCTTCCCCCCGCTCCCTGCCCATGTCTACCTGTGCGTGCAGGCGTACATGAGGAGAGGTGTGCATGAGTGTGTGTGCGTCTGTGTGCATGTACGTGCATGAGTGCGAAGGCACGAGTATGTTTGTGTACACGTATATGTGTGTGCACGTGTGATTGTGTGTGCACAACTTGCTGTCCATATTATGAGACCACAAGCGTGGACGTGTCCATGCTAGGCTGTTTTCATCAAGTTCGCCCCAGCACGCCTGTACCGGTGTTACACTCACTGTGTGTGTGGTTGGTACTCTTGCCACACATGTTGTGATACTTTGAATGTCCTCCCTGTTACCTGCATAGCATGTCCTTGTGCTGTGTAAGTTCGTGTGTGTGTGTGTCCCAGGTTACGTGTGTCCATGGATGTGTGCATGAGTGTGCACGTGTGTTGAAGCCCCTGTGCTCGTGTGTGAGGTCTTGCATAAACATGTGTCTGTGCATGTTTGTGTGGCTGCGTGTGTATGTGTGCGCATGTGCATGTGTCACGGTGTGAGCACGTGTGTGCATGCCTCTCTGGCCAGGGGTGACTAAGGCCAGGGATATGCATCATCGCTGCCCCAGCTCGAGGGGGAAATCCTCTTGAGTCTGGAATGGAAAAGACCAGGGGCTGAGGGGATCCGCAGTTCTCAGGCTCCAGGCAGTGTTCCCAGGCCCTGTCACCCGGGGGACCAAGTCAGGGTGCAGGGAAGCATGCATAGGCGCTAAGGGGACAAGGGCAGAGTCAGATTTCCCTTTCGGAAGTCCCCTCTGGGGCTGGCGTCGGGAGGGATGGTGGGGCCTGGGAAACTGGTGAGGAAGAGAGAGAGGGGGGAGGCCTGGACCAGGCCAGCAACAGTGGACGGGAGGAGGGGCAGATTTATGGGACATTTAGGATGCAGAACGGACAGGAATCGTGACTAGAGGGGTGGGAGGGCAAGCAAGGCATGTAGGAGCCCCCTCCCTCCCCCTCCCTGTGTCTGGCCTGAGTGACAGGGGACAAGGGGCCATCGCAGGGAAGCAGCAGCTTCCGCAGCTTGCTGGCAGCCAGTCTGTGACTGGGCCCTGCATCCTGGCTGCCTCAACCACACTGGGCGAGGACGGTGATGCAGGGGGACCAGAGGGGAGAATGGGTTTGGGGACCTGGCCAGTGAGCAGTGCCTGTGGCCTTCCAGGAGAGGGTGTCCAGGAGGTGCCTGGGACTGCGGGGCTGAGGCACCGGTGTAGGAGTAGCTTTGAACAGTCGGCCGAATTCTTCTTGGTGACTTTACTTCACACCAGGGCCCTTTTTGTTTTTATTTTTTAATTGCGGAACCCAAGTCTGAACTGGTCGTGGAGGCCATTGAACTCTAAGACCCCATCTGCACGCAGCCTGTGGGGAACACAAAGAGTGCCAAGGAGGTTACCAGCTTCAGAAACTCAGGCTGTTGGTGCTGAAGGCGTCTGGCGGAGCATCTGGGCCACCCCATCGTGGTACGGTTGGGGAAACCAAGGCCCAGAGGGTGATGACCTCCCCAGGGTCCCCCAGTGTGGCAGGGCAGGACCCATCCACCCCAGGAGTCACACCTCGTTGTTGGGGGGCACCTCCCTGAGCCCCAGGAGACTCTGTAATTACGGCGTTAGGAGGCAGCCTCTCCCTGCCGGGCCCTGCGCCTCTCAAAGCCGCACTGTGGAGACGAGGATTTGGTGGCACGGGGCGGGTTTCCAGGTGTGTCTGAGGAAGCCTGGCATCCGCGGGCGGCTCGTTCAGCCTGAAAGGGCCCATTGTGGCTGCGGCCTCCCTCTGATCGGCTCTATTTTGGGGTTGAGATCCACCCTGCTCCAGCTGGAGGAAGGAAAAGGTGTATTTCAGTATGTCCTGTGGGTGTGGGGGCGCAGGGGAGAGACAAAACGGGAGGCTGAGGCACCAGCGGGGTGCATAGCTCTGAGGGGCACGCCCGACTGTATGGGGGAAGGGGCAGGGGTGAGGGGGGAGTGGCCTGACATCCAGGTGGAGGTGGAAGTCCAGGGAAGAGTGGGTGTGAGCCGGGCTGGGGTTTCATGTGGCCCCAGGAGGCCGGGTTGCCAGACCCTGTCAAGCTGGAATGCGGGTCTGTGGCTTGTCTGGGCCCCGCCTGAGACCAGCCTGCCAGTGACTTCCAGATCCCCACCCCTGGGGGTGCCAGCCCCATGCCCTAGGCCCAGAAGGAGACCCGCCCTGCCCTCAAGGGCTCCCCAGTTTGTGTGGGGGGTGCCAGGGGCTGGCAAGACTGAGAACACACATAGCTCTTCTCCCTCCTCGGTCCAATCTGCCCTCTCTCCGCAGCGCTGGGCCATATTCCTGCCCCGCCCAGCGTGGTGGGTGCATTCCAGCCTCCTTGCCTCTGCTCACTTGGGTTCTCTGCCTTTCGTGGCCTTGGGGCTCTTCTTGGCCCATCTTGATCCTGCCCATCCTCCCAGGCTCTGCTCAGTGCCACCTCCACCTGGAGGCCCTCGGCATCCTGGGCTTTCCTCTGACTGCCCTTGCGCCAGCCTCACCCGGCACTGTGACTGCTGAGGCCCCCTCCCGACAACCTCCTGCTCCTCCCCTTGCCCAGGGCCAGCTGCAGGGGTGAGGGACTTGCTAAAAGTTTCATGTGTGACCTTGGGCCTGAGTCGCCTCATCTGTGAATGGGTGAAATGCTCTCTGCCTCATAGGGTGGCTGAGAGGTTAGATGGGTGACAAGTGGACGCGCCTGGCGCATAGTAGGTGTGCAAGCAGTGGTCCTTTGATTCCTCTCTCCTAGGTGCTCGCGGGCCTTTGGGAGCCAGAGCCTGGGCTGCCCCGGGCACAGCCCCGTGACTCCAGGAATGACTAATTCCACAGCAATAAGCTCTTAGAAATGAGACTTTTTTTCTCCTTGCTGCTTCATTAAACTCTTCTTGAGTGAGCAGAATGAGGATTGTCCTAATCCTTTGGCACGAGGTGGGGGGGTTCAGGGAGCTGGGAGAGATAGGCCCACGGTTGCCACCAGTCACTGCAGACATTGGGTCAAGGCAAGGGCTGGGCACATAAGGTGACACCAGCTCCACAGGTGCCCAGGGCAGGGGGCGGGTGCTGGACAGGGGCCCTGGGCCAGCTAGTGACCTCAGACAAGCCCTGCCCTGGGGGCATTTTCACCGTTTTGGCCTTGCTCTCCTCCCCACGCTGCTCTGGGGGTCTGGGAAAGGGATGTCTAGGAGGGGCTGTTAATGGGATGCCTGGGCGGGGCAGGTGGGGGGCACACAGTAGGCACCTTATCAGTGTACTCAGGTCTTAGGAGAACACAGAGGAGGGGGAGAAAGCCCTGAGAAGTCTCTTGGCCTTTCTCCTCTCAAAATCTATTTCCCCACCTTTAAAAGTAGCCTGGGGCCTCCTGGGGCACCATGGGTGACCTCAAGGGCTGGACCCTGGGGGCCGTCCATCAGGGAGAGTGCTGTTCTCTGGGTTGTGGCTGTCAGCCTGCCCAGATGGGAATGTCTACCCCCCATCGAGGCTGCCAGAACTGGGAAAACAGTTCCAGACCTCGCTCACCCCAGTAAGTCTTGATGGTACCTTCCTCTGTGCAACCTTAGTCTCCCTCTCCACGGGTGGGAAGAGACAATGTGGGGAGGGGTCAGTGACTGAGGTCTGGGGAACCCCATCATGGCCCCCTTTGTCCACAGGTGTTCCTGGCCTTTGGGGAGCTGCTTCTGTCCTGTAACTGGGCGCTGATTGCTGACATCCTGCTGGTAAGTGTGGGGGTTGGCATGGGGGGCTGGTCCTGGGGCCTCTTGAGCAGGGGGAGCTGGAGTCTGTCCAGCTCAGGGCTGGATCTCTGCTGTTGTGTGGCCTGGAGGTTGGAAGGGACTTCAGAGATTATGGGGTAGGAGACCAAGGTCACTGAACAGTTACCTTGGACCAGGGGCCTCCCTGACACTCTCAAACATCTCCTCTGACCATCACCTCCTTTTTGCAGATGAGCAAATGGAGGCTCAGAGAGGGCAGGTGCCTGGATCAAGGTCACACAGCATGCAAAGCCACTGAGCCAGGACTAGGGCCAGGCTTTTTGACTCTGGGGCTCTCTCCTTTCCTCTTCCTTGACCACACTCCTTAGCAAGCAGGCTCCTTGGCCTCCACTCTGGTCATACAGACAGGGATGCAAGACCTCAGGGCTATTGCCGCTGAGCCCAGGTGGGTCCAGGCCACCCCAGCTCCCGTGTCACAGGCTGCAAGGCAGGGGGCCAGCTCAGGCTATAATGAGGACTGATGCTGTCCTGACCACATGACTCTGCTGGGTCCAGAGTCCAGCCCGCCCTCCCTGAGCCTCACCCTCTCCGTCCGGCTTCCCTGACTCCTAGGAGACATGCAGGGAGGGGCTTTGAACACTGATGGGCTGTGCCCCTGTGGGTAACACAGGATCCAGACCTAGGGGCATCCCAAGAGCCCTCCTCCTGCCTGCTGGCAGCCTGCACAGTCCAGCGCGGGGCACGGGGGACCCAGAGCAGCCTGGTGATCGGCTGGGAGCTGTCCTGAGAGTGAACCTGGATTCAGGAGACAGACTTGGGTTTCAGCTCCGCTTCTTCTGCTACTTATAGCTGTGTGTGACCCAGGCAAGTCACTTTGTGTCTCTGAGCCTCAGTTTCCCTGTGTGGAAAATGGGGATGGAAATACCTCATGGATTATTGTGGGGGTGAAACGAGATTGTCCAGGTGAAGCTTTTGCCCACTGCCTGGCACAGAGAACGCTGGCCGGGACGCTCACAGCGAGGCAGGGGTTTCACTTTCTCATCGTCCATCTCCCAAGGAAATCCTTGAGTCCTGGAGTCTGAGTGTGAAAGGGCTGTGGGGAAGTGTGGTCATTTAATTAGCCAACAAGGCCTGCTTGAACACTACCGTTGGCGGGATTCTCATTCCCTGCCTAGATGCTCTGCCCCCTCCCCACGGCCCAGGGTCAGCGGGTGTAGACAGGGCTGTCCTGTCTTTGACTCCTGGGTGGGTGTACCAGCCGCAGGGCTGGTGGGTCTTCTCCTACCTCCAGAAGGAGACTTGGGCTCCAGGCCAGACTCAGCCACAGACCTGCTGAATGGGCTCGGGCCTCAGTTTCCTTGTCTATTAAAAGGAGTGATCGTAACTGGCCTGGCAGGGTGAGCCAGAAAGCCTGCAGGACAGGCCTCGCTGAACAGAAAAGCGCTGGAGAATGCTCTCTTTAGTGGGGTTGCCCACTTTTAGGCACAGGGAGATTCACTCCCCTGCGTCTGGCCTGTTCCCTCTCAGGCAGTTCAGATGGAGCTGAAATTTGCCCCCTGCTGCTTTCCCTGCCTGCCCCCCCCCCCCCCGCCACGCTGCTCCCTTTTCCACATGACAGCCCTGCAGATATGTGAAGACTGCCTGTGTCCCCCCAGTGTCTGTGTTTTTGAGAATGATTAACATGGCAGAGCCAGGCTCTTTGAAGTGCTGTGTGTATGTTGGGGACAGGGGTCTGGTGGGGAGGGGAGGGCTGCGGGGCTGGTCAGCCGTAGTTTGACCCATCCGGCTCTGCGGGGGGGCTGGCTGGAGCTGCCCAGGGGGGCCGGGTTGGACGTGATCCAGCCCTCCTGGGGCTCCCTGTGGTCCTTCCCGGGCTTGGGGGCCTCCAGCCCTAATCCTAGCAAGGCCCGCCACCCTGGGAAGCCTTCTCGCCCACCTTCCCCGGCCTTCCCAGCTTCCTGAAGCCCCTTAGCCAAAGATTTGGTGGTTGGAGCTGGACCAATTCTTGTGGTCCTTGGAGCTCAGTCCCCGGGGGAGAAAGGGACCGGCTCCAGGAGGGAGTGGTCTCAGGCACATGCAGGCAAGGGGCAGGCTGTGGAGGCCCCGTCTGCGGAGTGGAGGGGCAGACGCCAGCCTGGAGCAGGGTGAGGAAGGAGTGGGAGGTGAAGAAGGAGACCTGGAGGGTAGACAGCTCCCTCCAGAAGCTGCCTTGAGAAGCGAGGACAGAGAGGGTGGTAGCTGGAGTTGGCAGAAGGTCACAGGATGTTGGTGTTGCTTTTCTAGAGGTGAGGCAGGAGCAGCCTCCGGGGGCAGGGAGGGAAGACAGAGGAGAGAGGGCCAGCAGGGGGTGGGACCCAGGCCGGGAGGAAGCAGCCTGCAGCAGGGCAGGGGCAGGAAGTGTGTGGGGACGGGGTGTGGCAGAAAGTGCTGGAAGGTCCCATCTGCTGGCCTGCTCTTGCTCCTGAGGTGCAGGAGCTCTCTTTGGGCAGGCACCCAGGCAGTCAGGGGGCCCTGGGGTGTACGCCGCAGACTCTAAGGAGGAAGGGAGCTAATAGCTGCTCCCTGTATCATGCGTGTTCCTGAGGGGCCAGAGTGGTCTCCACTGTCCTCAGTGTCAGTCTTGCCTCAGGCACAAGGAGGAGAATCCAGATTCTCTCTGGGGAAGAGACCTCAGAAGCTCTCTGGTCCAGTGGTTCTTAAACTTCATTGAGCATAAGAACCAGGTTTGGTGAGCTTGTTACAAATTCAGCTTCCAGGCCCTCTGTCCTCTGAGTCTGATTCAGTGGGTCTGTGTTGGGGTCCAGGGATCTGCATCTCTAATGAACTTCCCATGTGGTCCTGACATTGATTTCCTCAGAGCGCAGTTGGGGAACACTGGTCTAGCACAGCCAGCTCCCAGTCCATGAACCCTCTGCGAAATTCTGAGTAGTGTAGTCCATCCTCTTGTTTATATATCCCTCCGATGGGGAGCTCACTCCCTGAACCCTGAGAAGCCCCTGCCTCCTGGCAGCTCTGTTGATGGAAAGGATCTGGCTCCGTCACAGCCAAGATCCACCTCAGACCTACCTCCAGCAACCTCCCCCTACCTGGGCTGGGCCTCGGAGGGTCCTGCTCCCTGGAAGGCTGAGATTGTGTCTCCTGAGTCAGCGTCTCCCCAGGCTGAGCTCCCTGCCTCCCCAAACCTGCTGATGGGGTCTCCAGTTCCCTCCCAACCCTCTTGTCTGTCTGGGCCCCACCCAAGGTGGCCCAGAGCCAGCTCACCCACCCCCAGCAGGAGTGGGGTAGAGCAGGAGGGGAGCTCACTCCATCTCCCAGGTCTCTTCTCTAGGGTTCTGGAATCCAGCCACCAGGCTCATCTCCCACCTCCTCAGCAGATTTCCCCCTATCCCCCTGGAGGGTTATCACCCTGCTGTTCTCCCTTGGCCTGCATCTCAATGCTTCCCTGCTCTGCCTTCTGCCTCCCAGGTAGCTGTCTGCTCACTTGCTCGTCTGTCTCCCCCCTCCCAGGGGTGTCTGGGTGTGAGGGCTGAGTGGGGAATGCAGGAGGCAGGCTGCCAAGGAGTCTGCACCTGGTGGTTGCCATTCTGACTTTCTGCAGGCCCTTGGTTGGCACTGGCTATACCCCGGGCTATAAAGGGAATAGCTCTTCTAAGAAGGGAGAGTCAAAAACAGAGGTGTTTTTGTCTCAGAATAGAGTGAGCCTGGATTTTTAGGAACGCAAAAGCCGCTAACTTCTAAAATTACCCGCTGGGCTCTAGCTGCTGGCGGGGCCCAGCCTTGGCCCCCTGGCTGTATGGAGACAATGGGGAGCCATAACAGGCTGGGGGAGACCTACCTCTCCCGCCACTGGCAGCGGGGGCTGGTCTGGGCCCAGCAGGTTGGGTTTCCTGGGAGGGGAGGGAAGAAGGGACCAGTTTGTCTGGACCTTACTCTGAGGGTCCAAGCAGCCCTGGCCCCTGCATAGACTTTTTTGGACATTCAGGGCCCACCCTCTAGGAGGCCCTGCCCTTTTCCCCAGAACCACCAGTGAGTAATCACATAATTATGGGGTGAGAAGGAAGCACTTCTGGAAGGTGCAAAGCTGTGGTCAGCTCCTTCTTCGGCCTGTTGGCAAGTCCTGGTGATGGGTGGGAGGCCCGGCTTCTCTCCCCACCTGGACAGAGTGGCTCAGCGCCTGGGACCCTGGGACCAGGCGGTCACCCTCCACAGTGACGCCTGCTGCCCTGCCCTGCCCACCCGCCAGGCTCCTCTCCCCATCCTGTGGCTCCCGTCCTGGGCTCCTGCCTCCACCCCTTCCCTCACATTGTCCCCGCCTGGAATGAATGCCCCTCCCTGCTCTCTCTGCCAGATACCTGTTTGCAGCGCTAGGGATGAGCTCGTCCTCTTTATCCTTCTCTCCATTTTCTAGATGTTTTGTAACAAACGCATAAATATTGCCAGAAAGGCTCCTCCTTGCTCATAACGGCAGAGTGGTCAAAGGTCAGACCCTGGAGAAGGCCTGGGCTCAAATCTCAGCCCTGCTATTTCCTGGCCAGTGACCCTGGGCGAGTTACTCCCGGCCCCTCAGGGAAGGTTTCCTCAGCTGTAACATGTGGATAATAATTGTGTCTCCCTCACGGGTTGGTTGAGTAGATATATAAAATGCATACAGGAAGCATTTAATAAATGTTGGTAATTATTACTATCATTGTTATTACTCTTTGATGGGTTCAGATTATGGGCGCTTAGGTCTTGGGGACAAGGCTCTGGGATGGGAGACCCCCCTGTGGCTGCCCTGTCGGGACTGTGTCACCCTGTGGCTTCTGCTTCAACCCCCTCCTCCTCCCTCCCTCCCTCTCTCTCTGCAGCCCTGGGTTCTGGCAGGGTTTCTCCTGGGACCCATCTCCCATAGGGTTCTACTTGACTTATTTAGTTCGCAAACTTTCAGCTAATCCTCTCTGAGCCTGGCACCTTGATGTACCCCAGGGATCCCAAGAGAAATTAGACAGGAACTTTGCTGCCCAGACAATGCAGGGGTAAGGGAAGGAGGACAAAGAAGGGCCCCTCCCAGTTATGGGGGACCTGCATTTGGTTAGGGGTGCACACAGGGGCTGTGGGAGCTCAGGGCAGGCACCTGAACTCTGGGAAGGCTTCATGGAGGAGGTGACCCAAAGATCAGTCCTGAATGACAAATAGGGATACTCCAGCTGGACCAGAGAGGGAAAAGCTTGCTAGGCAGAAGGCACAGCATGTTCGAATGCCCGGAAGCATTCTGCCTCCTGGAGTCGTAGGGTGTTATTTTGGTCTGATGTCTACATGAAGGCTCCAGGTACCAGATGAAGAATGATAATGAACCTAACCCTCCATGTAGGTCCTATTGTTATCCCCATTTGAGGATGAGGAGACTGAGGCACAGAAAGGTGAAGTGATTTGCCCAAAGTCACACAGCTAGTGAGTGGGGGATCTGGGATTGGAGCCCAGATGATCTGACTCTGGAATTCATATTCTTAACCTCTCCACCCTCTTCCATGGAGTCATGGGGGCCTCTCCAGCAAGCTGCCTTTGGTCTCTGCCCAGGGGGGCTTGAACTTCCTAAGAGAAGGGCCGAGCCCTCCGGACCATCCCACCCAGGTGCCCACACGTGCAGACACCTGACTGTGCACTGCTCTTCACCCCGCCAGCCTGCACTACTGCCTCCTGGGCCCCTGAGCCAGGACTCCCTGTTACTGTTGTCACAGCCATGCCTGGTCCCTGCCTGGCTCAAGAGCAAACCCTCAAGAGGGGTGCCCCTCATCAGGGGCCTTGGCACCCCCATCCCGGGGGACTGGGGAGCCTCCCTCAGCCTCGGAGGGGCCTGATGTTCTGGCTTCAGGCATTGAGGTCATTGACTCCCCTCCATCCCACTCAGTTGGCCAGCCTGTCACACCTCAAGGCAGGTCCTTGGCAGGTGGGGAGGAGGTGGGTGTGAGGGGCACCCAATCTCCACCCTCGCTTGGGGAGCTCCCCGGTGCTCCTGTGTTTTGCAGTCCGTGGTGGTGCCCAGGTGCCGGGGGACAGCAGAGGCACTTCAGATCACAGTGGGCCACATCCTGGGAGACGCTGGCAGCCCCTATCTCACCGGACTTGTAAGGCTGGGTGGGCAGGCAGCTGGGATCCACGTGTGTCTGTGTGTGTGTGGGGGAGGGTCTGGAGGAGGAACTGCACGTGCCAGGCCTGGAGGCTGGCCCGGTGGGCCTGGCAGACCCAGCCTCTCTCCTTTGCAGATCTCCAGTGCCCTGCGGGCAGGGCGCCCCGACTCCTACCTGCAGCGCTTCCTCAGCCTTCAACAGAGCTTCTTGTGCTGCACCTTTGCCCTCGCCCTGGGCGGTGGCTGCTTCCTGCTGACTGCCCTGCACGTGGAGAGAGACCAGGCCAGGGTCCGGCAGCTTGGCACAGGTACCCCCACCCCTTGCACACGTGCCAGGCTCAGGGCTGAGCCCTAAGGAGCTGGGAGCACTGGCCACCCCCTGAGGCCCTGGCCAGTTGATTTGTTCATTCATTCATTTATTCAAAAATAGTTATTATGCCCCTGCTGTGTGCCAGGTAAGGTGCAGATGCTGGGGAGTGAACGCCAAGTCTAAGCCCACGTGGAGGGTAGAGACAGAAAAGAAACAAACAAAAAGGCAAAGATAGAGTCTGTTCAAGGTGATAAGTGCTATGGAGAGACATGGAGCAGGAGGGTAGGTGGAGGGGAACAGATGGGGCAGCTTGCAAAGGGTAGTCAGAGGGCCTCACTGCACAGCTGACAGTGGAGCAGAGATTTGGAGGAGGTGAGGGAGTGAGCCATCTGGGGGAAGGTGCTCCTGGCAGAGGGAACAGCTAGTGCAAAGGCCCTGAGGTGGGAATGTACCTGATGTGTTTGAGAACCAGCAAAGGAAGCCAGTGTGGCTGGAGCAGGAGCAAGGGGGACAGTGGTAGGGACGAGGGTGGCAGTAATGGGGCCAGAGTTTGGGGGAGTTTGGGGGGCTCATGTAGGGACTGTGGCCTTAACTGAGTGAGATGGGAGCCGCTGTGGAGTTTCCAGTGGACGAGCCCCGGGGTGTCTGATTTACACTGTAAAAGCCCCACTCTGGCTGTAGTGTTGAGAACAGAGTGTAGGGGGTCAGCGTTGAAGCAGAGAGGCCGTAGAAGGCTCTGCAACCATCAGGGCACAGCAGAGCGGCTGGGACCGTGAAGTCAGATCTGGAATTAATCTTGAAAACGGAAGCTAGAGGATTTCCTGACAGACTGCACCCAAGCCTGGTCCCAAAGCCTCTTCTGGCTCCTTTGGGGCTGGCTAAGCCTCTTTCCTCCCACAGGGACCCTGGACGGCAAGGACATGGAGAGCCAAGGCCTGCTTTCTGGCATGGGTGCCTCCACAAAGGACCCCTGAGGGCCCTGCCCGGCAGCGAGGAGGTCCCACCCACCCTGCCCGCACCCCTCCCCTTGGCCTCCACGGTATCAGTGCCTCTGTCCACCTTTGGCTGTGGCTCAGGGATGCTGGCCGGGCTGCACCTGCCACTTCTTCGCTCCCAGCTAGAGAGCTGGCAGTGCCCGCGGCTGGGCTGGGAATTGAGCTGTCAGCACCCTCCGCGGGAGGCCTGGGCCTGCGCCTGCTCCCTGCACGAGGCCGCTCCAGCTGGGAGTCCTCAGCCTGGCTCCTGGTGGCCCCGATTAAAGTGCGGCCGGTACAAAGCCCATGGATTTCAGGCCTTTAGACAATCATGTTATTTATAGCCTCAAGGTGTCTCTGCTGGGAGAGGAGCAGGAGAGGAGGAGGTGGGCAGTCCAGGCCAACGATGCAGGGCTGCCCCTGAAGTGGGGAAACCGAGGGGGCTGCTCTCTAGGTGACCCCACCCTGGACCTCCCACTCTGACGCAGCTTTCCCACTCGGCAGGGGCAGGAGGGCACAGGACACCCTTCTGCATGAGGTCACCCTCTGAACAAAAGGTGGGGGAGGAGTCAGTAGTCTCAGAGATGGGTTTCCACTCTGGTGCTGGCTTCAAGTTCCAGAGAACCACACGGAGGAGTGCCCAAGCCTGCACAGACCCGGTGTCCCACAACCACGCTGGGGGGCCCGCATGGCTGTGCGTGAGTACCCCTGACTGTGCCCTGCTCTGCACCCGGCACCCCCCCCACTGCCCACACTCCACCCCAGCACAGCCCAGGGGGTGAGCTGGCTCTGTGGGACTCCCACTTGCCACTGGGTTCAGAACAGCTGGGCACAGCAGGCCCTGCAGGAGATCAACAGCTTCCAGGAGGGCTGCAGTGGGGAGGCATGTTCTTTCCGCCCATGAGCATGAGCTTCTCTCCCCTCCCCTGGTGCCCAGCCAGGCAATCACTTGTTCACTCGCTGGTCGCCACCTTTGCTGTGTCAGGCTGTGCCTGCCTACCAGCAGCTGTGGGCAGAGCAGTGACCTAGACTCGCGCTCACCTCCTGACCCTTGCCTGCTCCATCCCTGCCCGCCGTGGTGTCCTCCCTGCCCCTTATTGGTGGATGAGCCACCTCCAGGAGCTGGACTCTTCAGCTCACTCCATGGCTGCCATCCCTGGTCTCAGCCCTCCCTCAGGAGCAGCCATCATCAGGCTGACCAGCCCCTCAAAACACCATCTGACACTTGGAGCTCATGAAACGGGCTGCCCCTGAAGGTATGAGAAAAAGGACCCACGAGAGTTCCCACACTGTCAAGCAAATTCTCTGATACCAGCTGGGTGTCCTACAATTCAATTCAATTCTGATGCTATCTACCCACAGATAGCATCAAATTCCACAGGTTGAGGGCTCAGTCCTATAAGTCTGCACACCCACCTAACCTCACCTCTACTTCAGATGCCAGTTACAAGCCCAAGTTTTACCTGTACTTCTGACTGGTTGGCTATAAATTAGAGGTTCCCATGACCCCCTCTTTGGGCTCGATTAATTTGCTAGAGCGGCTCACAGAGCTCAGGAAACCTGTTTACTTACTAGATTACCGGTTTATTATAAAAGCATATAACTCAGGAACAGCTGGATGGAAGAGAAAGGAGTTGAGCTTCCATGCTCTCTCCAGGCATGCCACCCTCCGGAGATCTCCACATGCTCCCCAACCCGAAAACTCTCCGAACCTTGGCCTCTGGGGTATTTATGGAGGCTTCATTACATAGGCACGATTGATTAAACCATTGGCCATTGGCATTGATCTCAACCTCCAGTCCCTCTCCCCTCCCAGGAGTTGGGGGGTGGGACTGAAAGTTCCAACTCTCTAGTCATATGGTTGGCTCTCCTGGCAACCAGCTCCCATCCTTAGGTGTGGTCCAAAAGTCGTCTCCTTAACAAACAAAGACACCTTTATGGTGCTCATCACTTAGGAAATTCCAAGGGTTTAGGAGCTCTGCACCAGGGCTTGGTTTCTCCTGAGAAGGAGGCAGCCAGTCTCTGCAGAAGCCAGGATGTCATGGTCCCTCTTGGCACTCACTGGCTGTGTGACCTGGGCCGCTTCCTGTCCTCTCTGAGCTTCACACTTCCCAGCTATGTTTAAGAGGTTGAAGGTGGCCGTTCCTGCCCAGGCCTTGCCTCATGCGATTCTCACAAGCAGGGTCTAGGTCCACATAAGCCCAGCTCCAGAGTCTGAACCTTCCTCCTTACAGCCCTGGGCAGGACCCCTGTGAGGCTCAGCTCCCAGAAAATGGGCAAGGGCTTCCTAAGAGGCAGAACATCAGCTACCCCCACATCCCCCACTGGAGTCTAGCAGCTGGGGAGAAAGATCGGAAACCTCATTCATGCCAGTTCCAGAAACATGTATTGGTATCAGCGGGTGTCCATCTTGGTGTTGCGCAGTGACTCTGACTCCAGCCCGGCCCTTGGACCTCACAGCCCAAGACAGGGCAGGGGAACACTCCTACTGGCAGAGGAAGGGATTACATCCCTCAGAAACCTTTGAGGAGGTGGCCTAGGAGCTGGTAAACAGCAGGAGCTGTGGGGGAAGGGAATTCCTGGTGGAGGGAACAGGACAGGCAAAGGGGCAGGCGGGTGGGGCGGAAGATATGTGATGAATCATGGAGGTATGTGCTGTGGCCAGAGAGGAGGTGGGGTGTGTTCTGGGGTAGGGAGAGGAGGCAGGAGAGACTGGTCAGGACCAGAGGGGCTTCAGATGCCAGCCGAGGAGCTGGGGCTTGGACCCTGTAATTCTGGTAGTTTCTTCTGACTCAAGTGCTTTCTGGTGTTTGGGTTGCTGGGCAGGGCAGGGTGGTGCTTCCTAGGACTGAGCTAGACAAAGTGCACAGCCAGGAGTTTATAGGATGTTATCATCCGGAGTATTTTGAGGCGGGGCAGGAGCTCTGGGGCTGGTGGACTTGGGGAGTGAGAGACAAGTATCTCCTCTGCAGCCAACCTAGGCCCCAGCTTTATTCACCTCCCTCCCCCTGCCTCACTGGGGCAGTCACTCAGACCTCACTGGGCTGAGGTCACAGGTGCAGGTCTGTGAGAGCCGGCCACTCAGGCTGGAGCGGAGGAAGGGTCAACAGAACACACCTTCCTGGCCTAAAGGGCCCCAGGTAATCCGGTCCTTGATACTCTGGATTTGTTTGTTGGGATTGTGGATGGGGGAGCAGGCTGCTCAGCAGGATGGGGCCCTCAAGCCTGATGTGTTGATTGCTCTTTCCAGTCACACGTTACATTCCAGCTCCCAGTTGTCATCCTGGTCCGCGGCTGTCCTGTTGTTGTGCAGGTGTGTGCTCATTTCTGTGCTGGTGTGTGAGCATGTGAGGATGTGCTTATAGGGTACTGATAAAAGTTCTTCTTCCACTGAGACCTCAGGCTTGGAGGGTTGAGCACGTGCATCGAGATGATCTCCCCAACCCTGGTGTGTTCCCCTGCAACATCAATCATCATTCTGTCTGTTTCACTCCCTGAAGTGTCTGTCTTCCCTCCATGCCTGGGTGGGCCTGTGAGGTTGTTTGGTTTAATGCAGCATCTAAAGACAGAGCTGGCAGGAGGCAGCCAGAAGTTGCTGGAGCCAAGCTTTACCCAACACAGGGAGGTTGTGTGACTACATGTGCTCCTTCCATGTGACCATATCAGTTAGGACTGTAGGGTTGTGAGCAACAGAAACTGACTGACTATCTTAAGCAAGAAAGGGATTTGTTGGAAGCATATCAGTTGCTCACGGAATTGATGGGAAGATTGTAGATTCAGGAGCCAGGGCTCCTGGGCCATCTCACTGGGGGCTTTCACCAGCGCTCCAGATAATTTTTCCCTATTCTTTTGCCACCCAACTTGAGATTTAAAGCCCCGGGCAAGAGAGTCCAGTTGGATCCTATGCTCATGCCTTGATTTATAGCTCCATTAAGACTAGGAAATCAAAGTGCTGCTAGGAAGGGGGATGGACTCTGAGCATCAAAACAAAACAGCAATGAAAGAAAAAAAGGCAAACAAACAAACAAACAAACAAAAAACCCAAAACAAAGACAGTGTCCATTATAGTGATCTTGGGCAGGCACTGGCTCTCTCTCAGATGCAGCCTCTCCATGGGACAGGGAAGAGGCTGGACTCATTGTCCTTTAAGGAGTCTTCATTTCTGATAGTCTCAGTCCATGATCAAAGGAGAACAAAGCTGCTATAACTTAGAAAGTGTTAAAAATGTTCAAATGACAGAACAGGAACTCCTGTGTTAGTGGGGACTCAGCCATCTGTTCTGAGCAGGAGAGGGAGGCAGAGACGAAGCGTTCTAAGCAACACTCGTGAGGCAGGCCCAGGCTGCAGGATGGAGGGGCTCCAACAAGTCCCCGGCTTGGCACCAGCAGGAGCAGAGAGGAGGCGCCTTCTCCATACCTGTGGGCGATGACCTGTGGAGAAGGAAGTCAAAGGGCACATGAAGCTAATGGAGGGTGGAGTCAATCAGAGAGAAAACACCTTTTCCGGAGGGGCCAGGAGAGGAATCTGGCTGGTTTCTGAGTCACTCGGAGCAACAGACACATGATGCAAATCAACACACGCTTCCTGAGCACCTGCTAAATGTCATTTACTCATTCAATCAACAAACATTTTCTGAGCACCTCCTCTGCACTGGACTGCGGAGATGAATCAGACAGGGTATGGGCCCTCGAGGCTCACTGTCTGTTGTGGGGTGGGTGGGGGCGTGGACTCATGTACAAACATAATCTACACAATGACTTTGGTGTGATGAAAGGGTACACAGGTCACTTGAGTAGCCCAGAGGAGGAAATGACAATTATTCAGGTGGATCAGGGAGGGCTTCCTGGAGGAAGTCATGTCTGTGCTGAGTTTCTGAAGGACAAGTCGGGTGAGTGAGTAGGTAGACAGCATAGACAGAGCATGACTAAAGGCCCAGGGGAGGTGGGGGTGCACATGTGACGCTCTCCGTGGTCCTGAACCATCCTTGTGTTAGCAGGAGGAGGGCTTTTGTGTGGAGGGGAAAGCAGGGACTATAGGCAAGCCCCCAATTCCCACCACTTCTCTAGGATCCAGGAAGTATAATAACTGTGAGTGAGTTCAGGGAGCTCCATTTTCAGCGTGGTAGAGAGTAATTTTGAGAGATGGGCAGTAGGGTCTGAGGCCAGAGATTGGCATGGGTCACGAAGGGTTATGAAGGGTTTGGAGATCATGTTAAGGACCTTAGATATTTTTAATCCTATAGGCAATGGGGAGCCATGGAAAGGTTTTGTGGGAGGTAGGGATGGGGTCATACATATATGTGATTTAGAAAATTACTGGCAAGAAATATAGAGAAAAGACTGGAGGGGCATGTTGGGGCAGGTGGTGTGGAACTTAAAAGGGGTCCAAGTGAGACATAGAGAGGTTTGAGTTAAGTCAGTGAGCAACGGGGACATTGGGAGATATTAAAGAGAAAAAATGGACAGGCCCTAAATGTGGGAGTTGAGGGAGAAGAAGGAGTCCCAAATGGCTCCCGGGTTTCCTGCTCGGTGACAATGTGGATGATGGTGCTATTTCTCAAGAGAGAAATGATACTGGGTGGGAGCAGGTTTAGGGGAAAGATGATGAGTTCGGTTTTGGATGTGTTGAGTTTAAGGTGCTGTAGGATATCTAGGGGGAATGTGCAGGAGACTGCATACGGACCTAGTGCTTGGAGATGAGGCCACGTCTCGGGATGGAGGTTGGGGTGTCATGGGCACGTGGATGATTGTTGAAAGCCCAAGCAGGGGTGAGAGGCTGCCAAAGGAGATTGTGCCAAGTGAGAAGGGAAGAGACTGAGGCCGAGCCCTGGAGACACTTCTGTTTAGGGGAGGTGGACTGAGCTCCCAGTTATCAGCCTTGGGGGAGCCAGTGTTTCTCAGAGTGTGTTCTGCAAAGCTGTGACTAGATGCTCTTACAAGATGTTCTGTGGTCAGTACACATGGGGACATGACAGCCTATACCTCCCCCTGGGAGACTCACAGTGTACACCCCCAGATTAAAGGCTCTGAAAAGTCCCTCAGTAAGGAAACCCACTTCTCTGTGTTTACCCCATTGGTCCCAAATGTACTTGCCCTTGGAACACTGGCCATTAATGTCCTGTGCCCCAGTGGTTTTGAAGCTATGGTCTAGACCTAATGAATGAATATCAGAAGGCCCTTTAGCCATCGGGTTCAGCCTCCCATTATGCAGATCAGGAAGCTGTCCTGGAGAAGCTAAGAGCACCATGTGGGGCAGTAGAGGAAATACTGGCTCACGGGTAGACATGCCTGGGGTTAGTGCAAGCCCATCATTTACTATGTGACCTTGGGTGGATTACTTCTCACCCCTGGGCCTCAGTTTCTTCATCTGTGAGATGGAGATAAGAACTCTACCAGTCCTATGGCTGATGGTTCCATAATACTGCCAGAAGCTCTCAGAAGGCCACTGTGACTTGCCCAGAGCCACAAAGCCAGAAAGGGCTCATTGTCCACCCCATCTCCCTACTCTTGGTAGTCCCTTGTCCTACTCAAGGACCTGCTCTACAGAGTGCCTCTGAGTTAAAATCCCAGAAAAACCCACACTGTGGGAATAGCTGGCTTGCTTGGTGGCAGCTCAGAGGGTCCCCAAATTTGAAAGGCTCAAAACTCTGCCATCTTCCCCTGCTCCAGGGCTACTCAGTGGTGGAAAGCGAATGTTCCCCTCTCTGGTCAAGGGCTAAAACTGTTTCCCTGGGCGGGGATGAGGAATTTTGGGGAGTAGGAAGGGGAATTTGGGATTGGGCTTAGAGCCATGGTTGTACCTCCTTCACAGCTAGACACAGTCCCACGGCTGGGCAGTATCCCACAGCTGGACACTGTCCTCTAGCTGGCACCATCACACAGTTGTGAGGGTCATTGCCAGGGCCCAGTCTCAGTCCCATGGAGCTCCTAGGTCTGTTCTTGCCTGTTGATTACCTGTCACCCCAGGCCACCCAGTGGAACCTCCCCTATTCGCTTTGCAGGCCTGAGCTCAGCAAGCTGGAAAGAGGCAGCAAGACAACTTTCAGAATGAAATCTGTTTCCTAACCCTCCCGTCACAGTCATTCATACCCAACATGCCAAAGCATATTTTTAGTCACTTCGCAGAATTTAAAATACACCTCGAAGGTGCCAAGAAACACCAGCTTGGGGATTAACTCTGCTCACAAGAGACAGTGGGGTGGGGGGGGGTGCCTCGTGCTGTGTCACCTGTTGGCTATGCCATGACTCACTGTGGCTTTCACGAGATGCACCTTCACGAGATGCACCTGCCTGTGAACATGAGGTCCAGAGCAGCCTGCAGTGGGAACTGAGCTCCCAGTCCAGGGGGGTTGGTATCAGATCCCCGGGTCAGTGCCAACCCTGCCACTGACTAGCTGCATGTCCACGATGGGGTCATTTCTGGGCCCTGGGACCTGCCTGTGAAACATACGGGATAATTCTGGTTTCCCAGGCTCTGCCTAGTTCTAACATTCTGTCCTCAGCACTTTGTTTGTACAGGATTTTACTTTCAATCAAAGCCCCAAACAGATGAATGGATGGGGGGGGGCTTCACAGAACCACAGCACCTCTGACCTGGGTGACATTGGTGACTGTGGTCCTGAACACAGAAGCTACCCAACCACTCTGCAGGGGAGACAGGACTCCCCCTCCCTTAAGGGGGAGTGACTACTCATACTTCCAGACTGTCTGAATCCTATCCTCCTATTACCCCCAGAGAGAGAAACCAAGATCCAGAGAGAGTTAGGGGTCTTGTCCAGGGTCATGCCACATGCCAAGGCAGCACTGGGCTAGGACCTGGCCTCCTGTCTTCCATTCAGGGCTTTGTCCCTTCCCTAGTGCACAGCTGGAAGGCTGATCTTTGGGGAAAGGAGGCCCCTTCTTAATGCCCTGTTTCTGGTGCCCCCTCCTCCCCCACGCCCCCCATCAGAGTAGAGGCTTTCCCTGCCAGGAGCTGCCTCTCCGTGGAGCAGGGTAGGGTCTTGGTGTGCACACAGGAATGGGCCCAGGGGGAGGTTGGGGGCTGGATCTGGGTGTCCCTGGGGCAGGGGGCAACATAGCCTTCTGCACCAGGCAGAGGCCTGAGTCCTGGGCCAAGCCCCCACTGGTCACATTCTTGGTTCTTACGCAGCCCTTCCTGAACTGATTAAATCAGGAGGGGTGAGTAGCTGCTGGAGCGGCCACAGGCTCTCCTACAGGCGCCCCTGACTTAACCTTCTGAGACCCTCTCTCCAGGATGTCCATACGCCCTGAGCTCGAGCCCTCAGCTCTCTCCCAGAGTCTCCGCCAGGAGCCCACTCCCATGGTAGGGAGTGGGCAGGGAGGGCATTGAGTGGGTGCTGAGGAGTCCTCCTGCTTCCTGCACCCCACTTCTAGCTCCCCAGCTCCCCACAAATCTCCCGGTCCTCGCCAGCCTCTGCTGCCGCGCGCGGCTCCGGCGTGACTGCGCCCCCGTCGGGCGGGAGGGGCTCTGCGGCCCGTCCCCCCCGCCCCCCGGGGCAGCACGTGCGGGGCGGGGCTGTGGCCCGAGCCTGTACTCGATTGGGCATGTGTCTGTGGGAGGGGCCGGGCCGCAGCTGTCAGAGCCTCCGCGGCGACGGCGGCGCATCGAGCTGAACGGTGGCCGCGCCGCAGCCGGGGCCGGAGCGCAGGAGCCGACGGGACCCGGCCGGGATGGTGCAGCGGCGGCTCCGCGGCGCACACACGCATTGAGCGGGC